CTGCTGAAGTCTGGATACCCGTGGGTTGAGGTAAACTCGTTCCACTGACCAGGGTCTGGTTTCTTCTGCTTTGTTTGACATGGGTGTGCTTAGCTTCCATCTGTCTGTCATCCTAGAATAGCAGCCAGAGACAGCCTGTGTGTTATCTCTTGGGCAGGAAGGTTAAGTCCCCTGGCATGAATTGCATTCAGCAACTAAATAAATAAGATACCCTGGAGATGGGCTTTTATTCATAGGAAACCAGATAGCCTTTCTGATGATAAAATATTTATTCCCTATTATCTTCTTGTTGCCAGGACTACTGCTTATGGCACGTTTCTTAAAAGGAGCTAGAGTGATAAAGAGGTTATAGGAATTAGTAGGGTAATTTTTATTTTCAAGAATGTCTTGAATGATATTATATTGCCCAGAACTGAGTGTGATTTGCCATTTAATGTTGATTGAGATCACACCATGTCCCACTTTAATCATTGTTTTCTTCTTTTTAATCATTGCTTTCCTCTAAGAAACATCTTCACTTTATAGCTTAAGAAAGTGACCAAACGTAGTCACTTTTAAGGCAGCTAAATGAATTAATCAATGTGAATTCATGTAAGTGTTTAGAAAAATCTAACTACTCAAAATGAACATTTTGTGATAACTTAACTTTATTTAACACAATTTTATTATTTTAACTATTTACAAAGTACCAGCTAAGTCCTATTGGAGACCCAAAGGTGTTAGGGTCTCTGACCTGCAGGAGCATTCTGTTTAGTAGGGTATTAGTATACAAATACAGATCATTCTACACCAAGGCAGACTCTGATAAGCACTGTGCTAGGAGTACAAAATACTAGAAGGATATGGAATTCTGACTGCGAGTATCCAAGAGGACTTTGAGGAAATGCTGTCTTTGAGTTGGAACTTGACAAATAACAAAAGTAGGTAACATTTATTGAGTGCTTACTAAATGTCAGCACTGTTCAAAGTACTTTAAACTTATTAATTCCTTTAATTCTCTTGATTAACATTATAAGCTAAGTCTGTTATAATTCGCATTTTACAGTTGTACAAACTGAGGCACAGAACAGTTAAATAATTTGCCAAAGGTCATAGAGCTAGTAAGTGATGGAGTGAAGTTTCAAATTCAAGCAGTCTTGCACCAGAATGCTTACTGTCATCCTTAACCATAACACCATACTACCTCCTGTCAGGGTAAAATAAGATGTCACCAAGCAGATTCACGGCAGCAGCTCAGCCACAACCATGGGGAAGGAAAAAATCAGGAATATTTGGAAAGGCCAAAGTTTATTACTGTGGCTTGAATGTGGAGGAACAAAAGATGGATTGAGGAATTGTAGACTATAAGGTATACACAGAATGCAAGGAGGTTTGGATTGCAGAAGGTTGGATTTGCAGGTTTGGCCTGAGGAACAGCAGTGGGGAGCAGGGAAGTGCCTGGTCAGATTTTTGTCAGAGGATGACCTTGTGGAGAGGAGGATTGAGTGACTGAAGAGAAGGACATCCTTTAGGGATCTATTAATTAAATCATTAAAAAAAATTTTTTTGAGCTTCTCCTATGTGCCAAGCACTGTTCTGAGTGCTGAGCATATAGCAGGGAATAAGGGAGACAAGATAGACAAGGCTTCCAATTTCATTGTTTGAAAGAATATGGAAATAAATGGATGAATAAGCAAGATAATTTTATATAGTCCTGAAAGAAAGAAATAGGTCAATGTGATGTGAACAGAAAGCGACCATTGGCAGGGGAAGGGCCACTTTGGAATTGTAGCCAGGGAAGGCCTCTTTGGGCAGGTGACATTCCAACTGAGGCCTGAATGACAGAGGAGCCAGTCACGGGGAAGGAAGGGGAAGGGTTCAGCAAAACAGGATTTGGGTTTATGAAGAAAAACAGAATTAACAAATGCAAAAGCTCTGGATTGGGAAGGAGATTGGAAGGTTCAAAGGACAGAAAGAATGCCAAAAGAAGTGCTTAGCAGAGTTGGGGAGGGATACAAGGCGAGGCTGGAGAGTTAAGCAGGGCCAGTGCCTTGTAGGTTGGGGTAAAGTATTTGTGTTTTATTTTAAATGAACTGGGAAGCAATTGGAAGGTTTTAAGTATGTTTTAAGTAGATGAATGGCTTACTCTGTTTTATATTTTGAAAAGATCACTCTGGGTAATATATGGAGAATGGATTATAAGGGGACAGAAGTGAAAGCAGGAAAATCAATTAGGAGGCAAATTGCAGAGGTCCAGAAAAGAAAGAGACCATATGGCCCAGACCTTGAAGGGGGAGAGGTGGATGGATTAGGGTTACATTTTGGAGGCAAAGTTAAAAAGATTTGGATTAGGTGCAAGATATGGGAAAAAGAAAGGTACCAATGATGACTCCAAGAATTTTGAGCCCACTGAATGGTGTGGTGCCTATAATGAGCTAGAGAGAACTCTAGAGAGTTCTCTAGAGAAAAGGGGGAGTTACCAGAGAACAAGGGGAATTACGAGTTCTGCTATGGACATGGGGGGCTGTTCGGGGGTGGGTAGTTAGGTCGTCTCTTTGAGGATGCTAAAATATGGATGAGAGAGGTAGATACCACAGGAATTACAGTTATACCATTAACTGATACTAGGGCGATATTAGGGTGACTGATATTAGGGTGACTAGCTATTAGGGCAAGGGCTTTGATAACTTCAGGTTTGAGTCTGAAAAGGTAGAAAGGAAGAGATCCCATTAACCAACATGATAGAGTAGGAGAAGTCTGGCAAAGAGAAGGCTTAATGAAAGCCAGGAATCATGAGGAAATTCCCATTTGAATAGTGAACAAAGGTACAGGCTTTAGAATCTGAAAGACTTGGGTTTGAATCCTAGGTGAGCTGTTTACCAAACCCGTGTAACAAGTTACCTGGTTGCCTCAGCCTCCGTTTCTAATCTAGAAAATGAGAGAAATGATTTGGTAATGATAAGATAGTGATAAAGAGTAAATGAAGGGCTTCCCTGGTGGAGCAGTGGTTGAGAGTCCACCTGCCGATGCAGGGGACACGGGTTCGTGCCCCGGTCCGGGAAGATCCCACATGCCGCGGAGCGGCTAGGTCCATGGCCGCTGAGGCTGTGCGTCCGGAGCCTGTGCTCCACAACGAGAGAGGCCACAGCAGTGAGAGGCCTGCATACCGCAAAAAAAAAAAAAAAAAAAAAAAAAGAGTAAATGAAATGATATATGTAAATGCTTAATACATAGGAATCATGCAATAAATACTATTATCACTGTCTCTTATAATTACTATTATAATAATAACAATATAAAAATCACAATAACTGTTGGGATGTGTTTTATTTCTGTTGATTATTACTAAGATAATAATGTTCTGACTATTAGTTCCTTTTAAGCAAGGCTTGCAAGGATATTAATCCAGATTTGATATTCAACTCTTTTTTGCTATATTTAATCATCAAAACAAATTACAGGGGCTTCCCTGGTGGCGCAGTGGTTGAGAATATGCCTGCTAATTCAGGGGACACAGGTTCGAGCCCTGGTCTGGGAGGATCCCACATGCCGCAGAGCAACTGGGCCAATGAGCCACGGCTACTGAGCCTGTGCGTCTGGAGCCTGTGCTCCACAACAAGAGAGGACGTGATAGTGAGAGGCCCATGCACCGCGATGAAGAGTGGCCCCCGCTTGCCACAACTGGAGAAAGCCCTCGCACAGAAACGAAGACCCAACACAGCAAAAATAAATTAATAAATTAATAAACTCCTACCCCCAACATCTTACAAAAAAAAAACAAATTACATATTATTTATGTACTTTTCCCAATTTACAGATCAATACACTAAGGCTCACAAAGGGTACCATGTGTAAGGTTACACAGCAAGGAATTGGAGCCTACCTGGAAGAGCCAGGACTCACACCTAGATCTGACTTGCTCCAAATAATTCTGAACTCTTCCCCAGCAAATCACCAGTAAGATAAAAATATCATTGTGCCTCTTTGCCAGTTCTCTGGGATCTATGCTGAGTGAATAAATTCTGTTTTATAAAAATGTTATTAGCAAATCACCACGGTGGTTTTCACAGTGTCTCATGGAATTTTCCAGTGCTGGACAATGTGCCTCTCAAGGCCTGTCTTTGGAGGACATGAAGAAAAGTCTTCAGTTCTCACCCATTGACAAATATGGTAAGTATACAGATTCATCAGATTGACTAAGGAAAATACCCCTAGGAAGGTGATGTCTGTTTGATAATGAGGGAGAAATGATTCTATTTTGTAATAAGTAGAGATGAAGGGTACTTTAAAAATATTATATTATAAAAGCGCAAACTTTGCTCTTGTAAGTCTTGTATAAGTCTACAGTTACTTTTGCATTTAATAATGTGTGCATAAGTGTGTAAGTGTATGTGGAAGTATATGGGAGTGTGTGTGTCCATGGGAAAAAGTACAGCTCTTTTTTGAAAATAATCTCCTGCATCTGGTGACATTCAAAACACCTTGTTTCCACCTTATTGAGTCTACTACCTCGAAGTCCCACATTGTGCAGGTATAGGGAGGAGGAGATGAATTTCCACACTTACATCATATCCTTGCTAAAGAGGAGTGTTTTCTCTTTAGCAAGTACCGGAGGGTAAAATGTGAACCCAGCTATTCGCTCAAAAAGCTGGAGAGGAGGTGAGGGTATCACTGATGGGATCTGTTTTGCACAGGACTATTTTAGAAAGAATTAATAAAGCTCTTTGAAATAGTTAACATAGCTCTGTGCTCGCCCCTGGAAGCCAGAGGATAGGCAGTCCTCCTTATCAGCTGCCATATAAATGTGCCAGGCCTGTGATGTCCTTTCTCCCACCTCTAAGGCTGAGAAGCTCTATATTTAATTGGAATTTTAGTACAATGGGCTCATTTATTCATGGGAACTTCCTTTGACAATATGGAGGACTGAAAAAATGTATGTCACTTAAAGAGATCAGATTTATTACAAGGACTGGGTCTGTGGGAGAATAAATTCGGTGGTGTGTGCCTGGTTCTGTGATATAGATGGCAATAGACCCTGCCGCTTTAGAATCCTCAGCAATGCACCTCGGCTGCAGAGTATCATACCTAAGGCAATAGGAAGCCTCTAAGAAACGAAGAAGAAAATCGTTCTGGATAGATTCGACAAGCTACTTGGGAACACTAAAGAAAGGAAACTTTCTGCTTCCGACTCCCAGTACGTGTCTAGAATGCAGTCGAGTGCTTTTTATCATCAGCTTTACAACATAATTGGCCAATCCAGTAACGGGGGAAAATGTGCTCTAAGTGTCACATCAGCCCATTTTTTATAGATATAATATCGTTTTTTCAAACCTTTACAGATGTGACTGCACAACCACAAAATAGAGGGCACCCTTTGAAATGTGTGCTTTGACCAGAAGTCTTTTCTTTCATGGTGGAGTTTCAAGATGAAGCATTTCTTAACGATCTGTTTCTTAAAGGGATAAGACGTTGAGCAGAATTCCTCAAAATGAAGTTAGACAAAAGTGATGCAATGATTTTAAAAAGTAGGGTTTTCCTATGCATATATGTACCCGGGGTAGAAGAAAACATTCGCATGTTTGAATGGAGTGACAGTCCCAATAGACAAAAATGATATTCAATATATCCCACTAGGAACATCACATCGTATAAGAAAGAACTCTTTAATTGCCCTCCATTTCTACTCCATAAACTAGTTGTGGTATAACAGCAACTTTATGAACTGTTTCTTCCCCACCCACAGAACAGGGCTAGAGAATGAAGATAAAATTAAGTACCTAACTGTACTTGAGACCTTTCACCCTGAAGTAATAAAACATGTAGACGTGGTTCAGTCTTTCCTTAAAGCCTGTGTTCAAATTTCATTTGGTCCCTCTTAAGCTGAGTGACTGCACAGAGTCTGTCCTTCAACTCTGGTTATGATGGTATCAATAATAAATGTCAGCATCCATGCCCTGTTGATTTTGCTACCCGTCTCCGAAGGTGAACCCTCCCACACTAGAAGGATGGATGCTCACAATCAGATTTCCACAGGAGTCCTATGGAGAGAGAGGCATGAAGCATCATAGGCCAGAAAAGTCACATGTGGTACATTAAAAGGTTGATTATAGTAATGAAAGGATTACGAGCTTATTAAAGCATCTGTCTATGCCTGGGATGAAGTTGCAGTTTCAGTCTGGACGAAAGGAAATATTTTTGCTCTAAGGTGTAGATTTTTAGTCCGCCCGGAATTAGGATTCAATAATGTGTATCCTGCTTCCCCTAACCTAATCTCAGCTGGCCAGGGCCAGCCCTACTAGCAGGAGAGGACTGGTCACAGCAGCATTGGCAGCAGTGGTGCTGCCTCTCGGGAGAGTATATGTGCTGCCTAAGAGATTTTGACAGAGACCTTTCTTATGAAAATAAATATGCCCATCGAACTGCATATTGCCAGAAGTCTTAATGAAAATGTGGATAGCAGAGTGGGTTCTGAAAACTCAGCTATCAAAGGGAAGCAAAAGCAGCATTAGCTATTGACAAATGTGCCCATTTTCACAGAAACAATGAATGGTTTCCCTACTTGGAATGGAAAGGTAACTGCTTCCCTGCTCATGTCCTACGTTCTCTAGGACTGTGGCCAGATTCTGAGGCACTAGCTCAATTCTCTGGACACACCCAGGGCTATTGCTTCAATGAGCATCAAATGCCACTAGTATCCAGACCTAAGCACTGAAGTACACTTAAAAATTGGACTTTCAGATAGAAAAAAAAAGAAAACAACCAGAGCCAACCTGTTATAGAGAATACTCTTTCCTTTTCTCTACTGCCATCTCCACCTCCCTTTTCAGCCATCAACAGCTTTGCACTCACTATGTGTCAGACACTGTGCTAACTGTCTTATGTGCATTACCAGCCTTATGACTTCTCCCCTCTACAAATGAAGACACAGGCTCAGAAAGGTTAACAAAAGTCACAGAACTGGTAAGTAGTGGAGGCAGGGCTTAAACCCAGATTCGCCTGACGTGAAGCCCGTACTTTTAGCCATCATGACAAACCACCTTCCTGAACTGTACCCTTCTTTACTCCGAATTCAAAATGTCACCTGGCCAAACACCCATCACTGATGTTCCTCTGGTCTCAGCCCTCTGTTTTCATTGTAAATTCTGCTTTTGTTTTACAATTGCTTGTCAGAAACTCTTGTCCAAACTCTCTGTTCACATGAGCCAGGAGAGGCTGCTTGGCAGCTGTGCGTTGCACTGGCTGAGGCTGGTTAAGAGAAATGGGGAGATGGGCTGAAAGGCCGATAAGTAACAGCTGAACTTCTTTCCTGATGCAGGCTATGTGTCTGATCCCATGAGCCCGATGCATTTTCATTCTTGCCGGAATTGTGGCAGCTTTGAGGACAGCAGCTGACAGCATTCCGCATTTACCTAAGGAGAGTTTTCCCCCAAACTGACAGCAACAATTCCAACCATGGCAGACTTGCTTCCATTTATATTTTACCCTCTAAGGTCTCCTTAAATTGGCTTATTCATACTGGTCCTATTTAATTCCCCACCACAAGTTGGGCTTTGGATTTGTGGCTGAGGAATGAAATGCAAAAGAGCCAAAACAGAATGTATTTGAAGAATTGTTTTTAATTTTGTAAAGGAAAAAATAATTTTATGTTGTTGGTTGGAGATGGGGCCTTAGTCGTTGGTGGGGACTTAACAATTGTTATGTTTTCATAGACTGAATTAAGTAGACATGTTTGAGAGTCATGTGTTTGATTTCTTAGAATATTGTTCATTTTCTTATCTCATTATGTTACTTAAAGTGTCCAGCCCTGTGATTAAAGATTCTTTGGTGACATACAAAATTGACTCAGAAGTGTATTTCATTCCAACAAGACTTCTATTGAATATACCTTTCTTTCAGGTATATTGGTAAAAACACGTATTGATCTTCAGATCAAGAAGTTTGCAAAAATACAACACTTATTATTTGGCCTCCTCTCTACATGGTACCTCTGTGCTCTGCTTGGGTGACCTGTTGCTGTCAGCACCGAGGTGTCACAAATGCCATCGGTACTATCATGAAACCAACCCATGCATGCAAAGCTGCCATTCATACCAGGGTCTGGCACAGTGCACTGGGAGGATGGTTGAGGTACCTGCTACCTTCAGAAAAAGAGAAGTCTTCCCTCCACCCTCCCAACAAGGAAGACAGGAATGCTTCCACCAACAAAATAGTTTTGCCATTGGAAGACAGACCTGGAAAAAGACAGTCAGGAAACCATGAAAATTCAGTGTTATAATTACTGCTATTCACCTTGGTAAGGGAAATAACATTAGTAAAGGAAGATTGGGCATCCTCTAAATCAAGGTTTCTGGATCTCAGAACCATTGGAGGGAGTAATTCTTTGTGGGAGCTGTCCTATGCACTGTGGGATTTTAATAGCTTCCTGGCTTCTACCTCCAGATGCCAGTAACAGCTCCCTAAGTCACAGCAATCAAAAGTGTCTCCAGACTTTTCTTAATGTGCTCTGGGGGACAAAAATCTCCCCAGGTTGAGAACCACTGCCCTAAATCCTGAGATTAGGGGGCTGAAGAGGAATGAAAGAAAGATAGAGCCTGACTCTGACTGGCTGCATTTAGGCAAAACTGCTCTCTCCTCCTCCTTAGTAATGTGGATTCATAGACAAACGGAGCTGAATGAGTGCTGATTGCTCCTTCTATGTCTGTGGCAAGCTGCTCCCCTCTCCCCTACCAATTAGAAATTATGTTGCTTGCGGGTAATTTCTATCAGAACAGCAACACCCCCTCTATTCCTTCAGAGCCTTTCCTTATGACCTGTGGTCGCAAAGTTGAAAGTCCCCACATGTTCTGAAGAGCTTGGCAACAGCCCAATGCGAATCCAGGGGTAGAAGTGAAAACCATGGTACTTCCAATTAAATTTATCCTTTTTCAAAAAAAAAGGTCATGAAGAACCTAGGGGTAAGACGGGAATAAAGACACAGACCTACTAGAGAATTCCTTTTTCAGCGCCCAGCCTTTTCACTTCCCCACCCAATTTTTCTGGAGTCACAGGTACTGTATCCCACCAAGCAAGTTGACAAGGGGCTTTACCATAAGCAGGACCAAGGAGCTTGAAGTGACCATATTGGCAAAATGCCTTCTGGCAAAGACAGAAAAAGAGAAAAAAAGGGGCTGGTTAAAGAACACCGGTCTCCACAGATCTCCCTCTCCTCTGCTCTAGGTACTTTAGGAACCCAGCCGGCACCAGCCTGGGAAACTTTGGGGCTTAATCTTTTTGAGTTGAGTTGAAAGGAATAACTTTGAAAGTTAAAAATTTTTAAATATATACATACATACCAATTTTAACTAAAAGATTCACAGTAGATGTAATGCCGAATGTGTGTCTAATCAGGATTAAAGCAGGAATCCTCCCAGGTTCCCACTGAATGGAGGTCAGATCCAGATGAATGACTGCTTCTGAAATACCCCTCTTTTAGGGAAGGATTTTCTAGAACAAATTTGTCAAGCTCCCTTTCTTTGTTTCCTTTAATTAATCACCTCCTCTCTTCACACTATATCTCCTCATGTTGCTGCTTCCCTCTGGCTCTTGTTAAGTATCTGTGTCTTGATTCCTGAGAAGGGTAACCTTTTCACAGATGCCAACCTATAGCTCACAAACCCTTTTCATTACTGCACTTTTAATGCGGCCCAGGGATCATCTGAAAGCCTGTCTCGAGACCATGGGGATTTTTGTGCTTTTTTTTTTTCTCTCCTTGCTGAAAAAAATGTCTCACTAATTGCTTTCTTTTTGTGCTGGTAAAAATGAACTTCTATGATCGTGTTTTTGCATGCTTAGCACATTAAAATTTTTTTTCCATGTGCATGCAGCACTGAGCTCACTTAGAAGATGTTCAATTAGCTATAATTGTAAGCCAAATTACAGCAGCACCAGGAGAGAGTTACTCCAACACAGTGATTATTTGGGTTAAATTATTTCCAAAGCTGACATTTTCCTGGGAAAGAGGAAAAAATGGGTGCCAGTAGTAGGAAAAAGGGTTAGCGCTAGACATTCCATCTGAAATGAAGGACCTGATTTCTTTCTCTCTCATGCTCTCTGCCTTTCCTTAGTTTCTTCTTACCTTCCTTCTATCCTTCCTTCCTCCTTTTCTCCCTCCAACAATAATCATTAGCTTTGGAGTCACGTGGACCTTCTACAGTAGTTGTGTGACCTTGGGCAAGTCACTTTACCTATCTTGAGCTCGTTTGTAGGATGGTGATAATAAAAATTATGTTGTAAAGTTGCTGTAAGGATTGCAAATAATATAAAGTGCATTGAATAGTTCCTGGCACACCATAGTCAATATTGTAGATATTGTTGTTGTTGTTTATTTTTATATTATGTCACCATGCAGCCAAAGATCTATTCTACAGAAGTCGAGCATGAGAAGGGTAGAGATTTTTCTCTCTTGTGGAAATAACCATCAACATCCCTAAAAACCCCACCTTTGCAAACAGCAAACTGCCAAGCTTATGCTTTTGAGGCAGTTGGAGCCAAGATGCATCAGCCTTAGACAGTGACATCTTATTTACACCTGAAATAAAATCTGAAGAGAAATGAAGTCCTTTAAATCAAATACAAGAATCAGAAAGAATTTCTCAAACAAGGGGGATGATAATTAAAAATAGAAAGAAAACACATTTACTGAGTATCTGCTATATGGCAGGAAGTGTTTAGGATGATTTTAGGTGTATTTTTTTAATTAGTTCTCAAAATAGCTCTGGAAAGGGAGAATGCTCTTCCTGATTTTTCAGGTAAGTAACAAATCCAAGCTAGCATAGAATGGAATCAGGTTTCAAAACTTGGCTTGTCTTGCACTAGCATCCATGAGTTTTTCACTACACAGTACTGCCTCCACTTGATGGAGAAAAAGGAATAAAAATAGGAAACATTCACAATCCAGAATTGTGGTAAAAGCAAACAAATCTGCAGTTCTGCAGTCCTGAGGAAAATTTTGGGAATTACCCAGGAGAAGTTGCAGGGACAAAAATAAAAACAACCAAACCTGGGCTTCCCTGGTGGCGCAGTGGTTGAGAGTCTGCTTGCCGATGCAGGGGACATGGGTTCGTGCCCCGGTCCGGGAGGATCCCACATGCCGCGGAGCGGCTGGGCCCGTGAGTCATGGCCGCTGGGCCTGCGCGTGCGGAGCCTGTGCTCCGCAGTGGGAGAGGCCACAGCAGTGAGAGGCCCACGTACTGCCAAATAAACAAAAAACAAAAAAACAACCAAACCTGTCTTGATTACTATGGCTCATGATTGCAAAGTAAAACCAAAAAAAAAAAAAAAAAAATCATTTCCTCTGTTTTAATTATGGAAAAAAGAGGGCTAGAATAATCTCAAGGTTCAAAAAACATACATTATTATTTTCTAGGCACAAAGAGCCAGAAATGATTGACAGAATCAAGACTCTCACCGTGATAAGCAGGAACAAAAAATTAGGAGGGCAAAGCACGGTAATTAGGGAAGCCAAGGAGTTTCACATTTTCCTCTCCTTGTTAGCACTCTGGTCAGGGAAAGTGAGGAGAGATGGTGTAGCCATTACCAGTAGGATTTGAATACCTTTTTCCTTCCCAGGTTTGTGTTGCTTGTAGTTACTCAAGCATGCAGACTGCAGAGCTCCCCCTGATCAATTTCCTTCCATATTTCATGAACCACAAGGGCAAAGATGAACCATTTGACAATTGCAGTCCCTTCACAGGGGATCAGTTGAAGGCTCAGCTGCTGCAGTAACAGATTGTGGTCCAAGACTGTCAGCTCAATTAGCACCATATGCAAAACATGATGGAGAAGCAAAGTTCCTCTCCCTCCTTGGACATCCTACCTTTTGGAAGTTTAACTAGATACAAAAAGAGCAGGGGCTGTACCTTTCTCCTCAGGCCAGAGATCCAAGGCAGCACAGCAGCCAACCCAACGGCAGGGTACTAATTAAATTAGGCTTCTAGAATTAAAACACTGCCCCAGGTGCCAGGCCCCACTGATGAGGATAGGTCTCCAAAGCACTCTCAGTCTAACTTTATGTTTAATTAGTGAGATAAAAAGAATAGTATCTCAAATATCTGTCTTTTAAGCAATGGACTCATATGTAGGAAAAAGGTATCTTTGCCATCTTTAAAGAAGGTTTTGAAGCTCACTAATTTCACTAACTTCCATCTCTTCTTTTATCTCAACTAATCAGGAAAGGGTGAGATTCCAGCAAGATCATGAAATGCAATGAAAATAATTTGAATGTTGGTTTGCCCTTCAGTTTTTACTCATAATAATCCATGGTCTGCTTAACACCACTTCAAAAATTAATCCATGGTGAAGAATGTCAGGTTCTTCTTTCAGAGGTTTTCTTTTCCCGTCCTTAAATTCAAATCAGTCAGGGAACAGAATTAATTTCCAGACTGAGGATAGTTTGAAGTGAGAAGAATAAAAATGGATGGGTCACTGGATGACATATGTTTATCCTGTACCAGGTATGAAATTGTAGGAGGCAGAATAGCACAGAAAAGTTCTCAAACTTTAGCCTATGTCAGAATCACTAGAGGGTTCATTCAAATGCAGATTGATGGACCCCGCCCCAGGGTTTTAGAATCTGAAGTTTTGGAGTGGGACCCAAAAGCGTGCATTTCCAACAGGGTCCCGGGAGACCTGATGCTGCTGGTCCCGGGACCACATTTTGAGAAGCACTGGCGTTGTAGTGAGCTTTCCAGTCAAGCATGGGTGAAAATCTGGTTCAACCCCTCACTGTGTGTGACCTTCCATGGGCAAGTTACTCAGTCTCTCTGACCCTCGGATTCCCCATCTATAAAGTGGAGACAATGAT